TGATGGAGCTCCTGGAGATCATCAATGGTCCATGATGGAGCTCCTGGATCATGATGGAGCTCCTGGAGATCATTGGTGGCCCCTGATGGAGCTCCTAGACCATGATGGAGCTCCTGGAGATCATTTGGGGTCCATAGTGGAGGTTCTGGAGATCATTGGGGGTCTATGGTGGAGGTTCTGGAGATCATTGGTGGCCCCTGATGGAGCTCCTGGAGATCATTGGTGGCCCATGATGGGGCTCCTGGAGATCATCAAGGGTCCATGATGGAGCTCCTGGCCCGTGATGGAGCTCCTGGAGATCATCAATGATCTATGGTGGAGGTTCTGGACCATGATGGAGCTCCTGGAGATCATTGGGGGTCTATGGTGGAGGTTCTGGAGATCATTGGTGGCCCCTGATGGAGCTCCTGGAGATCATTGGTGGCCCATGATGGAGCTCCTGGCCCGTGATGGAGGTTCTGGAGATCATCAATGGTCCATGATGGAGCTCCTGGAGCTCCTGGGCACCATCAGTGGTCCCTGCTGGAGCTCCTGGAGCTCCTGGGCACCATCAATGGTTCATGCTGGAGCTCCTGGGCACCATTGATGGTCCATGTTGGAGCTCCTGGGCACCACGTTTGAGCTCCTGGGCACCATCAATGGTCCCTACTGGAGCTCCTGGAGCTCCTGGACACCACAGTGAAGTTCCTGGTCACCACTGATGGTCCATGTTGAAGCTCCTGGGGCCATGATGGAGCTCCTGGAGATCATTTGGGGTCCATGATGGAGCTCCTGGAGGTCATTGGTGGCCCATGATGGAGCTCCTGTTCCCATCCTGGTCATGGAGATGGTCAGTGCTCCATGCTGGAGCTCTTGGGCACCATCAATGGTCCATATTGGAGCTACTGGGCACCACTGATTCCCCATATTGGGGGTCCTGTCCCCATCTTGGGACTGGGCACCATTAATGGTCATTTTCTGGAGCTCCTGGGCACCACTGATGGTCCATGTTGGAGCTCCTGGAGCTCCTGTGCACCATCAATGGTCCCTGCTGGAGCTCCTGGAGCTCCTGGGCACCATCAATGGTCCCTGATGGAGCTCATGAAGCTCCTGGGCACCATAAATGG